CAAACACAAAATGATATGAATTCTTTCTGTTCAAGGCTATTATACACTTTTAAAAAATGTTACATGCAACTGAATCTGCAAATGAAAAAGTAAAAATTAGATAATATATTCCACATGATTGAAGAAGTCATTTCCCTATAAATAAATCGCTACCAGCAATATGACTATAACAGGACTTTCACACAAGATTATGTACTGAAGCCCATGTGAGGATGCAATTCTCACATCACTTTCTTTCTTTTTTTTTTTCTCATTACTTAAACTCAATGGAAAAAATCTTGGTTATTTTGGGACCTGACAACATTCTGTTTCATTATTGTAAACATATCATATGTGTATTAAGCACCTTCTATCCTGTTTTTTTGTCATTAGCACAAAGTTTTTGAAAACGTACTCTTTTGCTCTCTGTGACCATAAATAAAAATGCAAATATAGACACTGAAATTGAATGGAAGTAGCAAATTACGAAGAGGCCATGAAAATGATCAAAAATACCAAAAGTTTTATACATTATCATTTAAAACCCCCACAAAATATGAAAATTTATATAGATAGCTTATACTTCCTAAAACACATTCATTGAACCTCATAGGTATGTTTACTCTTGTTTGAGAAATCCTAAAGAGGATTGATTGACTGGCAGCTGGACAATTGTTAAAAAATGTGTCTTTTTTCACATCTTTTTTCTTTCAAAATATTTAGAAGGTAAGGCAATCATTTTATAAATAGTTAAATCTCAAAATATAAACATAATTTGCATTTTAATTTGGGAGTAAAAACTTTGAATGATAAATCTGACATTCCTGGTTTTTCATAATTCTGTTTCATAATTCACATGATTATCTGTTGTAGACACAATGGATTATCTACTTTCATTTTGTTTTATTTTGGTACCAGAAATTGAACGTAAAGATGCTTAACCAGTGATGCCACATCCCCAGCCCTTTCTATTTTTATTTTGAGACAGGGTCTCACTAAATTGCTTAAGGCCTTGCTAAATTGCTGAGGCTCACTTTGAACTTGTGATCCTCCTGCTTCAGCCTCTAGAGCTGCTGGGATTACAAGTGTTCATCACTGCACCCAGCAGATTATCTACTTTTAAGTCATCTTTAATGAAACAATGAGGATGTCTAAATTTACTTATTTTATGCACTCAGTTATTTTACTCAAAACAAAAAAAAATATGCTCAATAACAAAAGGTCATTTATTGATAATCACAGCCTCTTAAAATGCTCAGAAGAAACATGACTTATGTTGGATTTCCCAATTTTATCCTACCAGTGTCTCGGGACAGGACAATAAGAATTCATCACTTAAATGAGCACTGGAGCCCATGCACCTCCAGTAATGTGAGCTTTATTTGAGTTAATGTGATGGAACTGGTAAAAAGGTCAATATGAGTTCATAATACTTTGCTAGACACAGCACACTTCATTGTGATCATATAGGCCCCCTTGCTATTTCTGCTTCAAGATCTTTTCACTGGATCTTCTTTTTATCTAGAATGTTCTTTCCTCTTATAGTGTTGCTCCTCAGTTATCAGCTCCTCAGAGGTGTCTTTCCTGAATTCCTATGTAAAACAACACTGCCTCTATCAGTTCTTCTCTTCTTTTACTCTTAGAGAATTTGAAGATTAAAAAAAATAATAATAAAAATAACACTGTTTCTAGCAATCATAAAGTGCCTGAGGAATACATTTATACTACAGCCCAAGAAAAACATATAAAGTAGCAGAGAACAAAACTGTAAGAGAAAGTTTATGAAATGACACAGAAAGATTTACAAAAATGTAGATACATCTCTCTGTGTAGCAATTATCCAAATCTATAGCACTTAAAAAGGAGTGTTCATTAGGAAGCATTTGTGGTGGTGTTTTGTTTGCTTGTTTCTGAGATGGGGTCTTCCTAAATTTTGCAGCCTGGCACTGAACACACAATCCTCCTGCCTCAGCCTGCTGCATTACTGCCATTTCAGGCTTGTGCCACTGTGTTCAGCTAGGACCATCTTTTAATCACCATAGATCCTCCTAGAGTTGGCTAGAAACATCTGACTGAATTGGAACTACAGATATCGGTCATTCCACTGGAGAATCATTGACCAATCAGATTCTTATTCTTAATAATTCAAACTGTAAGACCTACAGAAAGATGACAACTTATTCAGTGCTAGAGTTCAAGTAGAGATTATGTTAAGTTAAAACCATAGATGGGCAGGAATCATGGGGGGTACAGAAATTATGAGTTAAAAATTAGAATGTCAGGCAGTCATATGAAGACAAGGGAAAAAACAAAGCAGACACTACAGAAAGAGATAAAAAGATGAGACAAAAATACACCATTTGTCAATTTCCAATTTCTCACATTCAGTGTAAGAAACATTAGTTCTTGCTAATGTTTTCTTCTCAACAATGGATGTTAGACTCTAAATTATCTTAAAAAGGAAATTCAATCTTTATTGGTCCTAAAGATAATAGATGCCAACCAGCTCCACAATCCCAAGCTAGGGGAAAGAGACTGTACTTTGAAAGAGGGATTCAAAAACTGGTTTTTACAGTGAGGCACAGTGGCTTACACCTGTAATCCCAGTGGCTCAGGAGGCTGAAGCAGGAAGAACATGAGTTCAAAAGCCAGCCTCAGCAAAAGCGAGGTGCTTAGCAACTTAGTGAGACCCTGTCTCTAAATAAAATACAAAATAGGGTTGGGGATGTGGCTCAGTGGTTGAGTGCCCCTGAATTCAATCCCTGGTACCAAAAACAAAAAAACAACACCTGGTTTTACAGTTGTTAACACCTTATAGATACCTTGAATGTGTTAAAGTTGAAGAGGGCAGCTTCTATGTTTTATTTGTATTCTTCTTTTCTTTTCTTTCTTTGTGTCTTTTTTTTTTCTTTGGAGGGCCAATTTCCAATGTACTGACAGATCTCCCTGACCATGGAGTAAGGACAGGACGTGCCTTCACCTTACCTGAAAACTAGTGAAAAGAGCTTTGAGTTCTTATGAGCAGAGCTTGATCTGTGACTACCTGAAGTCAAATATACAGCAAACTGCTATCAAGAGTTATATCTGAAAATCTACATTTTGAAAGGAATCAGGACAGTGGCCTTGCCTATGTACATGGAGAGAGTTCAAATGGTAAGTAGCTGTTTTCCCACTCAAAGTTGGCCCAGAATACAAAGCTTCCTGAGTCCGTCGTGGAAACTTGACTAAGGCATAGCTTTCAGGAGTTGACATAAGGTCATTTAAAAAGAGATCTTTGCTCAAGAGGGGCTGCCTGAGATAGAGATGGGGCCTTAATAGAAAGAGGCTGAGTCCAGTGAATGTCCAGGGCCTAAAAGAGGAATGATAAACAGGTAGCTAAAAGAATTCTTATCAGTTCTCAAGACATTCATACAGATGAATTTCATGGCCTTGATAAAAAGCACCCAAGGAATAAGCGATCAATAATAAACAGCTGCAATAGTCAAAGATAAGCTGTGAGAAATGACATCTGGGTCAGGCAAGTAAGATTTTTTCCCATCCATATCTCTTCCTGGCTACAACTCTGGAGGAATCAGAGAATTGACCAACAACCACCAGGAAGGGACCAAGAATCCTAGGAAAACTGAGTAAAGAGGATGGCAGTCACCTCATCTACCTCCAAGGGATCTCTAGGCCCAAGTGACAGGAAAGGAGTTCCAGGTATTAGTTTTACTTAGGATTAGACTTTTCAGTTACAGATGAAACTGGTCTGGGGACTGCAACATAACAGAGAACTTTTTCCTACACATGAGCAAAGCAGGTAATCATTCTTCCAGAAACTTTATATAGTCTGTCTTTGGTCAGATTCCTTGGAAGCAGAGCTAAAGTCAAAATTCATGGTGCAGTGATGTTTGAAGGATATGCTGTCAGGAAAACATCTGTGGTCTCAGGACAGGGAAGGTGAAATAATTAACAAGAGTGTGATCTCAGCTGGGACCACCATCAGTCTTCAGTGGGACTTCACAGGGAGGCTCTGCAGCACTAGGGAAACAGGGTTAGTCCCATGTCCACTCACTGGCTGAATTCTGTGGGAAGGTGAGTAGCCAGCAGGATGAAGGGGGAGCTTGCCCCATGTACCCTGCCGTGGCAAAGTGAGCAGGCGAGAGATCTGGGTGGCACTGATAGAACTCATTATTCATAAGAGAGGTGAGGGAGAATTTGGCCCACAGAACAAATTTGAATAGGGGGAAAAGTAAAGTTGTTTCCTGGTTGTGTCCAGCTAATCCCATTCATGCAGTAAGCATTTCAGTTACAGTAACTCATTCTTCTTCCTTGATGATTTAATGCACGTTTCTATTTTTTAAAAAAAAAAAAATTAAAAACAATGCCTGGAACAAAATGGAAATGTTACATAGAGATTTTGTATTCCCAGCAAGTAGGAATGGAGAAGGACATAGAAGATATCCTAGCATATTGGTGCTGTAAAGATGAATGCAGTATTTCATTGATTGAAGCTGTTTGCTATTTCTAAGTTTTATGTTTCTGCAGTCATGATAATGAACTTCACATCTCTTCAGTCAGGGATGACTCAGAAATCATTATCTGCATGGAAATAGAATGAAAATAGAGAAAAGTAAGCAACACAAAGGAAGGAGGAGGAAAGGACTTAGGGAAGTAGTGGAGAATGAAATCTACCAAGTATGCTATGCCCATGTTCATATACCACAATGAATATAGCTTTTGTGTATATTTATAATGAACCAATTAAACTAATAATACAAATAGGAGGACAATTAATAGAGTAGAACAAGCAGATCAGGAAGAGGGGAAAAGAGATAGATCAAATCATGTGATTTGCTTGTACAAATATGGCATAATGATTCCTACTATTATGTATAATTATAGTACACCAATAATAAAAGCAAAACAGTATCTGTAGGCAGGTAGGGGAACAAGTACATGGTAGGCTTATGTAAAATATGAAAAATTGTTTTAATTCAGGCAATAGTTCATCTATCATACATTTGTCTTTCCAGATTTCACAGCATAATAAAGAATTTGTGAATGAAAGGAACACAATATTTCAGAATATATGACGTCCTAGCCTTTTATGCCAAGTTCAAACTCCACCAATTTCAAGTTGCTATGAACCTTGAATTGTGACATTTGAGCAAGCAACTCTTTTGGGTAAGACTTCCATCTTCTATTCAGTCAGAAGGCCACACCCTGGCTTAAAAGCCAAAGGAAGTGTCTTTTGTTATTTTATTCTTGTATTAAATGTTGCCTGGTCTGTGCCTTAAATCAGGTGTTGGGCTCTCCTGATGGAGGCTGTCATGGTATCTAGTGCCCTGATGGGAGCCTCTTTTTGTTGTTGGTCTTTTCACCATGAGAAATCAGGCTATTCACAATTTCTGAAACACAATTGTGTATTAAGAGAAGCAAACTGAGAGACACCAGAGGCTCTGTATTCCTTCCTGGTAGCCAACGCTCTTGGGTGCTTTACAGAAACAAAGCTGCAAAGACAGAGCCATGCCACCCTTAGGAAGCAGAAAAACACAGATGGCTGGAGTGGTCTGCTTGAGGAAGGGCAGAGAGTGATACTCACATGCAGGAGGTCTCTCACTGCAATGTCTTTTCATACCTTTAGACAAATGCTCTGGTGGTACCAGAGCTTAGACAATCAGTTTGGTTTGGAGATAAAAGTCATCCTGTTAAGAATATCTGGACTCCAGCCTGGATCACAGAGAGTCCTCTGAGTGGCAAAAGAGGATCACACACAAATCCTAATTGGATGACCTGAACGAAAAAGGAGAGAGCCAGAGTTCTAAGAGCTCAGAGAAATAAGAAGGGAAAAGACCAAGGAGGCATTGAAATATGAAGATAAAATCGATACAGAATTGCCCAGGAAATCAATAAGAGGGATAAAGGACGTGCAGGGGATGTGAAATGTGTGTTCTGTCTCCTGTACGAGTGAGAAATCTGGCAGCACGTTTTGAACATGCTGCAATCCTGTAATTAAAGCTCGAGGGAGAACAGTAAGAGGGAGTCTCGATAATCAAGTGAAAAGATGGCATGGCAATAAGTGACTCTTTGTCAGAAAAACAGTTTCATAGGCAAATCTTAAGTTAAACATGAACTCATGTACTCAGTCAAAAGACAGACTGGTAACTGTGCCTGTGTGTTTGTGGAAGAAATCAGGGCTTGATTCTAGAACCATAACCCAGCAGCAGCATCTGTCTTTCAATAGGCCAGAGTAACCTGTTAGGACAATTGCCACAAGCCTGACAGTCACAGCCTTGTCTCAGGGTGAACTTTGAAGGAAGACAAGGGCTTTCCAATGCCCAGTGTATCTGCCAAGGGACGGAGTAGCCAAGAGTCAATCTCTCATGGTTGAATGCATTATAGAAAGCATAGTATTTATACTTGTCCTCTTACACGCAAGATAGGAATAAAGCAATTAGAGATGTCTAGAAAAGTCAGCAAAAAAACAATAACAACAACAATCACAACAACAACAACAACAACAAAGTACTAAGAAGTCTCTTGGTGATCAGTAGAAAAAATATATGATAAACTCAATGATACTAAGAATTATGCTTGATCATGGGAGCAGAATATGAGACACTGATTATTTAAAAAATGTTTTTAGTTGTTCTAAACTCACCTAAACAGAGGCCGATATTCTGCAAGTCCAGGGAAATCAGACATATTATCTTTGTAATTATCTCACTTCTCCAATTGTCTCCAGAGGTTTTATTCTCAAAGACCACCATTTAAGTACATGGTTCCTTTCCAGCATTTGTTCAACATATGTTACTAATTATAATTATGTTGATCTGTTATGGTTTGGATGTGAGGTGTTCCCCCAAAACTTCACATGTGCAACAATGCAAAAAGGCTCAAAGGATAAATGATCAGGTTGTGAGAGTCTTAACCCAATCAGTGAATTGATTCCTTGATAGTGGTCACTGAAGTGGTAGGATGTGGCTAGAGGAGGTGGGAATTAGGACATTGGAATATATAAAATATATCAAGTGGTTTGTGCAAGTAGTCACAGCTACTCAGTTGGCTGATGAGGAGTAGTTCAGGGGCCCAGGAATGTGAGAGATGAGCTGGGGCAACATAGTGAGATTTCAACCAGGAAAATGAATGAATAAACTAAGTAATTAATTAACTAATAAAAATAAATCTCTCAGAAGCCATAGATTGAAATTATGTTTCTCTTCTTCAAAGTGTTTCAAAGGCAATTTATAAAAACACTACTGCTAGACTATTTATTTTTGCCTATTTTCAAATTACCACTATTTTTCCAAAAGCGTATATTTAGAATTGATAATGAGCAAAAGTTATTTAAAGCAAAATTTCAATGGTTGAAGATTTGAGAAAATGACAACAGAGGTATAATTTTTTTTTATTTCAATAGGTTTTCACATCAAAACAGAAAAACTAGTTAGCAAAGCCTAAAATATGCAACCATATTTACAACAAAACAATGATACTGAGATATCATTAGAAACTCTGAAACAGTATGCATCAATACCTGTACTGGAAAAAGAGGAAGCAACAGGCATCTGAAATTGCTAACCAAAGAGAATCTCAAATGGACTGTGGGATTTGCTGGATAGTATGGTAAGCCACTATGAAACTGGAAAGTTGTTTCCCTTCTCCTGAAATGGCTGAATGCAGGGAACCGATCCTAGGAAGGTTTGAAAGTGGATGGAACAGCATGGCTCCTCTGAGCTTTAGAAATGAAGCAGTCACATAGCATCCTGGGTGGGAGAGGGACATTGACTTGATCAATAAAAATAAAGGCAAGTGAACATTGTTACAAATAAATGTGGAGAGGAGAAAGAAAGGCAGAATATCTCAAAGAGCATCAGTCCATATATTTAAACACTACATTAAAACAACAGAGGAGAGAGCTCTTTGAGGGTAGAAAATCTTTCCTGACTTACTTCCTCCAGTCATCTGAACTCATAGTAAGAATAATAATAAATGAAAGTTAACAACAAAACAGTATGGATTCAAATATCTTGCTTAGCTGTTGTAAGATATAAAAGACAATAAAGAGCAGGACAGCATTCCTATAAACAATAAGAGCATGACATAAACACATGACCCTAAATACACGAAAAATATTCAATGATGTGGTGACCAAATTTGGGAAACATTAGGAATAAGGAAAAAAATTCAGAAACAATTGCTAAATTAAAAGCCTGAAGAGAATAACTAAACACAACAGATAATGCCTGAAGGACATATAAGATAAAAAGGAGGAATAACAAAAAAATGAAATCAAAAGAAAAAATGTGGGGGAAAAGGTGTCAGTTATTGAACACAGGCAAATACTGTCCATCATATGAGTAAAGAATGTCCAAAGAAAAATTTAAGCATGAAACAGAACCAATACTAGAACATGCAATATAAAAATAGCTATTGAAAAAAAGGAAGAACAGTATTTTGAAAATTCATACTTCAGAAATTTCATGCCAGAATGACCAACAGTAAGGCAGACCCATGAGGATAAAATTACTTGGTTTTAATGGGGGGGATGTCTGCCTTGATATAAAAAAGAGAAATACTAATAAAAGAATAAAAATTTGATGATTATCAGATTTTTTTAGACTACAATGCTCTGTCCTAGAAGAAAATGGAGTAATATATTTATGTTAATAAGGGAAAAAACTGCATAAAAATTTTAATCTACAAATCTGATTTTGAAGCATAAAGAGCACAAAGTTTTTTCAACATGCAAAATATATCCCTGTTCCTGAGGCTATTCCGTATAACAATTATTAGACAACCAGTATAACTAGAAACAGGTTGATATAAGTACTGACGGCTGGCATTTAATGCATAGCTACTTACAAAACTAAGACCAAATGGAAATTTTTAAATGAGAGTGAGTAGTATGCTAGGACCAGATGCTCATGACAAAGAAATGGTACAGATGTAAACATGGTAGAGAAACACATTAGCCAGTGAAAGCACATGACCATCTTCAGCAATTGCATTGAGATGACAGTGTTATAATGGTGTTTAAGTTTTTTCACATGTAATGTGAAATAAAGAAAATAAATAATTATGGGATATTCTGTTATCCTCTGAGTCCTTAAAAACTAGGATTTCTCATATGAAGTAGAAGAAACATAGATTTTGATTTTTAAATGAAAGTATTATTTGAAAGTATGACAAAGTATCATTATGAATGAATGACATTTTATCTTAAACATGTCACTATTCTTTCCATTGAAAAGTTCTTAAATAATGGCCCACTCAATTATGCATTTAGTTTGAGCATTACCAACATTGATATGGTGGTCTCAAAATATCTGATAAACCACAACTGCAGAGATAAAGGACTGATTCTAGATTCAACACGTACAACATGTTCCATAACAGATAGCAAGGAATCTCTCCAAGACTTGTTAGAGGGACTCAAGAGACAACTTGAAGAAGCTTCCAAGATGGAGCAATTTGGACTTCAATGAGAATAATCATTGAAATGAATTGTAATCTAGAAGATACATTTAAGTCCATGAATTTATAATGATATTATTTTTAAAATGGTCACCTTCAGTAGTTGATAGAAGAAGCCATTTTATTGAGAATTTATATATCTGGTTAAAGAATGAAGCATTTATCCAATCTTTCCAATAGAAATAACACTCAGTAACCAAACAATAAATTAGGGGAAGTTTTATTTATTAAAACTTTAAACAAATAAGTGGAAAATGAAGAAGAAATGGTAGAATCAAATATCACCATTTTGATCTGAATAGACATTTCTGAAAAGAGAAAATATAAATAACCATCAATTATAATTTAAAATGTTCAATAGCATTAATTATTAGAAAAAATACAAACCAAAATACAATGAGAGGGCTGGGGATGTGGCTCTAGCGGAAGCGCGCTCGCCTGGCATGCATGCGGCCCGGGGTTTGATCCTCAGCACCACATACAAACAAAGATGTTGTGTCCGCCAAAAACTAAAAAAAATAAAATAAATATTAAAATTCTCTCTCTCTAAAAAAAAAAAACACACACAATGAGATATCATCTCATTTCAGTACAAATGGTTATTACTTTTTAAAAAAAGCTAGCAAAGATATAGAGGAAAAAAAAATCTTACGCATTGTTGTTGGAATGTAATTTAGAGCACCAAATCCCATTAAAATGTACAGTTAATATATGTTAATCAAAATTTTAAAAACTAAAATGAAATAAAAAGTTTTAAATGTCACTATTTTGTAGCTCTCAGTGAGTAATAAATGTAGGCAAAGAACTCCTGAATAGATACAAACATCACAAAAATAGAGAAAGCCAGACAATATATGATTCCTGGTAAAAATAAATAAATAAAATAAAAAACACCACATGCATGTTTTCCCCTAGATATTAAATCTGAATCTAATTGAACTGCTGGATTCCAATCTACACAAATTGCAAAGACAAAGAGATAATCCAATTTTCATCATAAGAACTGACAATTAACAAAATGCAGATTATGAGAAACAACAAATCAAATGGTCTGGGTGTTAGATAAATTGTAAGCAAATTAAAGGATTAGAAGGAGAAACTGTAAATCTCAAAAGGACTAATAATATATCAAATTTTAAAGTGGACATGAATAAACTATAGTATCTGGGTAGTATTAAATTGTATTCCTTTGCATGATAAACATAAAAAGAGACACAAGAAGTGAAACCATAGAAATTAGGAGAGTAGTTGGATTTAGGGGAAAGGAGTAAGTTGTAATTATCATGGGGGCATAGAGGAACTTGTGGGAAGAGTGAGAAAGTTGTCATTTCTTGATCAAGAGTTGGTTGTTAGAGTAAGAGTTTTAAAATAGATTATATATGCAATTTAATAATGTAATACATATATTTATAATATATGATATTTACTAAATTTAGATTTGTTTGAAATGATACTTGCCTTACAATAAAATATTAATAAAATGTGTTTATGTGTTAAAGAGAGTTTAAATAAATCTCTGTTAAATATTTTGAGGTTAAAAAGCAAGATGTAGTACACTGGTAACCCTGATTTTTTTTTTTTTTTTTTTTTTGCATTGCTCACTGTGTAATTAGAAACAATTTCAAAGGTTTTCTGCAAATACTTAAGGAGACTGCAAAACATTTGAGGTAACATATGTAATATACCCTCTATAATTTTAAGGGAAAAGCTTTTATTTAAATAAATAATTTCCAGTATGTTTTAAAAATCATTGTGTTTGGTCGGGTATGCTGGTGCACTCCTGTAATCCCAGAGGTTTAGATGGCTATGGCAGGTCAATGGCAAGTTCAAAGCCAGCCTCAGCAATTTATTGAGACTCTGTGCTACTTAGTGAGAACTTGTCTCAAAATAAAAATATGAAAAGGGTTGGGGTAAGTAAGTGCCCCTGGGCTCATTCCCTGGTATCATCTTCCATTATATTTTCTTAAAGTACAAGGAAGCTAATGAAGCCTTAGTTATAGCAGCTCCATGTACACATGCTCCTCCAAAAGCTCTTGTAATTTCCAGGAATGTATTTATATGGGGATGTTTTTGTAAAGTTTGCAAAAGTAAGATTTTGACCACTGTTGGTCACAACTCTGTTTTTCCTTGGTCAAACGTCCCTTGGTATCTTATGGCAATGAGCAGAAGAGCTATTTGGGGGATAAGGAAACTAAATCTGGGAAGATAGTAAGTTAGATTAGTGGAACACATTCTTTGATTCATAGTCTCTTCCATGTCCAATAAGATCTTAACTCCATGCCTTGTCGGAGGAGTGACTTCCAGGAATATTGCTCTATGCTATTTCACCATAGTTCTGTGAAGGGACAAGAACTGAGACTGCATCACTGTGTTAAGCTGTATGTAGTGTGGCAAAGACCATTGGAAATGTTTAGTAGTCAATGAAGAAGGAATACATTGTAAGTAGTGACTGACATTGTCATAATGCAGGAATGAGATTGTAAATACAATTTTTTTTTCCTTTTCATGACAGTCATACCTAACTTATCAGAATTCTTGTATTTATGTATGTGCTATTAGTTTTGTAAAACAAAAGTCTGTTGTGATTTTTTTCTCATTAAAAAAATTAGTTGTTTTTATACCCAATACTATATTCCAGAGTTCATATTCTTTCTCTTAAAACAGATCGCAAATTTTTAAAGAGTCAGGTCTCACCAAGCCTAGATTTTCTCCTTTTCTCACTAGAAATCATTTGGTAAATGGAAGACATAAGAATTTCTTTTCTTTATTCCCCATTGCTAATGTATAGAGGTCACAAGGATATGAAGACTCTTTACTTTTTTAATAAACTATGCTAATTAATTTTTTTAATGAACTATGAATTTCTTATTTTTCACTGACAATCTGTAGAGAGAGTCTATATGTACATGATCAGACAGATGCTGAATTAATTTTGGCAAGGAAAGATGGGTTTCTTGATTACAAGAATGGCTGTCTTGTTTGAAAGAGGTCATCGCTTGAAGGTCAAGAGTTTCCATTCTAAAGGAAAAAGAGACAAAGTCATATTATACCATTATAATCAGTTTGATAGAGAGACCTTTTGAAATATTGCTCATGCTCAATGCTGGTTACTTCTTTCCAAAGCTCTGTAAGGTGAATATCACCATGCACATTTTTTTAGACACAAAAAGCTCAAGGAGGTCGTGTCCTGCTGCAAATGAATAACAAAGTCTATGCTTGAGGTCAGGACATCTGGCTACAAAGTCCATGTTATTCCATGCTTTTGTAACTAATTGGCCAATCACTTAAACTCTCTGGCCCCACTGTCCTAACCTAGAAAAATATGACCGTTGACTACAGGATCTTGCAGGCCCAAAGTGTGTGATTCTATGCTTCCAAGCCAAGCAAACTTTATAATCTCTGTTAGCTGATTCCCATGTCGTATAACAGGAAATTCCTCCCGATTTTCTTGTACCTAATCTAAATTTGGTAATAATTAAAATCCATCCTGCCTGTTCTTTCCTCTGCAGTAGTGTCAAACACCTGATTTGTCACAATCGTGCATAATAACTTTCCATTATGATGAGAGAAGAAAAAGCAGTAAGGAGGAATGAGAGAAGATTTTGCAAGAATTGTCTGGTAAGAAACCTGGACAAGCTCAGGCTTCATCTGATTTGAAATATTTAAATTCAAGACTTAACCTTAGCCAGCAAAAGAACATAGTGGTTTATTTTTCCTCATCTCTCATGTATTATAAAAAGCATGAATGTTTAAATGATGTCTATAGAGATAAACTTTCTAGGTAGTGCATTTAAAAGACTGTACAGACTATAGATTTCCCTCCTTAGCTATTTGTGAAAATTTGGAAAATGTTTTTGCCTAATGGGAAAACAGAATCTAGACCACTGGGGATGGGGGTGGGGGCTCCCACCATGGTGTGCACTGCTTCTCTGATGTTTTAGTGGCCATGGAGGGGATCTGGCTGCAGTTACAGCTCTGCTGTTGTCATTGTCACATCTATTTCCGACCCAGTCTCTTCTGCTGTGTGGTGGGCTTGGCGATTGCTCCCGCTGCAGTTCCTTTGTTAGAGATTTGCCCTCTTGACACATCTGAATGAAGAAGTTGCAGTACGAAAAGAAGATTGGTGACAGACTCTGCAATTTCATTCCCTGTAGTAGGTCCTGAAACCTTATCTACATGTCATCTGGCTAATCAGAGGTCCATGGTGAGATCTGTCAGAGATTTCTGTTTTAAAAAAGAAATTCAGACACAGTTGACAGGAGAATAGGAGTGCTTCTTCGGTCCTGTACCAGCACTGTCTATTATGCCAGTGCAAGCCTGAGGCTGTAGTGACAGAGGAACCTCAGGGTAGCCTCCTAAGGACATCAGCACAGGTGGGCAGAGCCCTTTCCCTCCCTCCACAACAACAGAACCAAACAAAGGACCCACCACCACAGCAAAAAGCAGGGACAAGGTAAAAATAGAACAGCTGAACATCAGTGTGAACACATTTGTGAGAGAATATAATGAAACTCATGAATCATACAATCAGTTAGATAGTGTCAAATGGGGCAACTATATCTTCCCAAAGGGTTGGAAGTTCATGTCTGTAACCAAGCCAATAAAATCATCAAGCAGAAAATGCCACTTTATTACTTAAGAATTTATAAAACCTTGGAAATTTAAAAATGTACACTAATTTATAATACTTGTCTCTGGAAAAGCAACTCAGTTTCTTGGTGGCTCCTAATCCTTTTTTCTCTTAATACAAAGATTAATACAGTGTACAAAGTACACTGACCTTGGAACCAAACCTTAATAGAAATGAGAATACAGATATCCATTAGACTCTGCAAACCTCTCTATGATTCTAAGTAAATTGCACTTGTGAGTTCCACAAGAGGAAGTGCAGTTCAATTGTTAAGAACACAGGCTGCAGAACTGAATATCTGGCTTCAAACTCTGGTGGTACCACTCATAATTTTTTGTTGTCTTGGATAAACTATTTAGCATCTCTCTGTAGCTGTTTCATCACCAGTAAAAGTAGAATAAATATAATAATCTATCAATGTCATAGGATTGTTGAGAAGATGAGAAAAATCTGTACAACAAGGCTAACACATAATAAATCTTCTATAAATGTTGTGGTTGCTCTTGTGATTGTAATCATTATCAGTCAGGATAGGCTGTATGCTATGTAACAGTCATTGGCAATATCTCAGGCATTTAAAAAAATGTGTCATGTCTCATTGCTGCTATAATTCCATGGGTAGAGACACTCTATCCATCAAAGGTATTTGTGGGTCTTGGCTAGTAGAGAAGCCACAATCTGGAAGTTGATGTTTGATGTGCCAGAGAAAAGGGAATGCTGGAGAGCCTTGAGTCAAAATCTAAATAGCCCAGATCAAAACAATGCACATCACCTGTGTTTGTAAGTCATTGTCCAGAAGCAACTTGGTCCTGTTAAACCATGAGGGTGGCAAGTAATGCAAACTTTTTATGTGACTAGGAGAAATAGTACTCGGTGGACAATATTAATGCCCAGAATCATTTCAGCATTATTATTTTTATGTTATTAGTAGTAATATATTTCAAGACACAAATGATCTACTTATTAGATCTACTCATTAGGTATTTCTAATGAGAAAAAAAAAAACCTGGACCAAAAAAATTATTACTTATTTATTTTATTTTCATCAATACATGAGTTGAAAAATGAATAATGTACATTGTAAATATGTAGACAATATGCTAGTTGCTTTCACATAGCATTATATATAATTTTAACAATCCTATAAAGTAATTAATTTCAGCCCAATTTTACAGATGAAGAAGCAATAATTAGTTACATAACATACCCACTGGTATAGGTAGTAAGTAATAAGCAATATTTTGGAATCATATCTGCCTGGAACTATTGCACATCATCTTTATATTTGCAAAATTACATATTCAAACATATTATCTAGTAAAAATGAGCCCATGTTCCTACAAGAAGTCCACTGCTGGAGGGTGGGTAGTGAATTTAGCAAATGTGAAAACTTAAATTTCTTTCTTGATTTTTTGAAAGTGAAAGGAAAAAAAAAGCTTTGTCTTCATAGCATAATAGGAATAAATTTTAAGTTCAGTCAAATACTGTATTCATTATCTAGGTTTTCATGTCCAAAATGAAGTTTGAGATTGAGTCCAGGAGAGTAAGTCATGTTAAAAATGTGGTTAGTTCCACTGAATATCAGCCATCCTGATCTGACCCCAGATGGAACCTCTGCTTTAGAAAAGTGCATGGATTAGAGGGAATGACAGGATGGACTAGCAGTAGGCAGTAGATACAGAAATGACTCCAACAGCATACTATTTGGGAAGTTATTTTTTTAAAAAATAGATATGATGTGGGGTTGAGAAGAGTGCTTAACATTTTGTATTTGACTAAAAAGGAAAAGGAAGAGACAGTGCTAATTTCTCAAATACAAACCTCCCATGAATTATCCAGGATCTCTACTCATTCTGGGAATCAACACATAAGGCAAGAATCACTATGCCTTCTTAAAAAAATAAGACCACTGCCTAGCCTTGGTACTTCTGTGTAGAAACAATTTTCTGTCATTGCTTTCTCCCCAAACACGTTTAGCCCTAGGAATGTAGCACTTGAAAATGCAGGGTTTGGGGGAGACAGAGTTTGTTCTAATTATGGCAGCTCTATAGGAAATGTGTCAGTCATGCACCTAGAGAGAATAATTGTCTAATCTAATCTACAGTATCTATTCATTTTACCAATTTGGCAGAGATTTATAAGAAAAAATATAGAAGACAACATTAAATGAATTAACAAATGCAAGCCTTTGTTTTTTGTATATATTTTTCTGGACCATATCAACTTCTACCATTTCCAGCCTATGACACCCACTTCTCTGGCTGACATGCAGAATTTTGTAGTAACCTGAATATGCTTTAGTTAATTGCTTACATCTGCAAAATGTAAGTAAGTGTTTATATAGTGCTTAGGATGTCTATTCTACAAACTTCACCTATATTATGTTGTTCTCATAATAATAACCCTTTGCAATAGGGTGCTATTATTACCCTATTTTGCAGATGAGAAAAACTGAGGGCATAAATGCTATTTAACTTGCCCAAGGTCACACAGCTATTAAGAAACAGATGAAAATTCAAATAGAAAAAGTCTTGTTCCAGAGCCCATCCACTTTACCTTAACCTATGTTTTCAAGTTTGATGGTATCTTTATATGAAGATTATTTCACCCATTTTTGTCTGGCTAACTCATTTTCAAAACTTGGCTCTGACTCCAATCACTGGGAAGTTGTCCTTTATCCCTCTAAGACTCTCATCTCCCTGCAATTCTTGACTAGATTAGGGACCAACACTCTGCTCTCCAGGCAGCAAGGATGTACCACTACTGCCATGGGGTCCATGTTGTATGGGATTGCTACCACTAGACTGCAGTCCTGAATATTCATTCATTTCTATAACCCATCATCATGCCTGGTGTATGGTGCATGGAAGGTTTTAAGTATTTATTGAATGAATCAATATGATAAATAGGTGATGGAAACATCTGTATGAAGATTGCAATTATCTTTTTTCAAGTCGGTGAGTGATTTTTGAAATTCAGTTAAAATCAACATTAGGTGTTTATTTTTAAATTGGTGAAGCTCAGACTTTCAACCACCATACACAGAAACCAAATGAAGGATTCTGTTGGCACACAGGGAACTCTCAGTGTTCAACGTGAGCACTATTTTTCAGCTATTATATGTGTTTCCAATGTTAATCCAGAAAGTGTGAAATTTTTATATCTCTTTCTCTAAAAGGACAGCTCCTCCTGGGATCTAAAGGATGCTCTCTTTAGTTTTTAGGGAACAAAAGAATATCAATGAAATAAACACAGGTGATTGTGACTTTATTATGTTTTAGGAGAGGCCTTGAGAGATGTTCTTTTTTCCCAGGCACTGGTGATTCAAATTCAAAATCCTTAAAGGAATTCTGATTTTAAGCTTGAAATTTCCTGTGTGTGAACTCTAATGGCAGAAGTTGGGGTTATGGTTTTAGACAACATGACATGAAGTCAATAGCTTGTTTTAAAATCCATGCTGATGTCAATGGCTTCTTTAATGTAGGCAGGGGCTCCAGAGTGAGTTGCTATAGAAGAACCTGTTCTCCCATGGCAGCTCCTTCAATGTCTCCTTCTCAAGTTTCTTCTCTTTGGTTCTCTGCTGAGAAGGGGAAATCCACAGGTCCAGCAGACCAGCCTGGAGGCTTCTACTACTTTCATTGTGCAAGTGCCTCTGAGAGTCAAATCTGGAGAGATTGAGTCTGCATCCCAGTTGAACAGTCTTCAGAAAGCCTCTCCTTATGTTCCTCTTCTTCCTCATTCTTCAGCAAACCTATTAATCCTACAAAAATTGTGGGCTTTTCATATAGTTAGAATCACACATGCATCTCATTAGATTGTTTTGAGGATAAGAAAAAAACAAAAGTATTTAAGTGCCTGGCACAGTGTGGCATGTGCACAAATGCTAACATTAATTTTGTAAATACTCAACCACCAACCTGAGTCGATACAGGTGGAATAGTCAATGTATTAAGGTATGTTGAATTTTTTTCTATTTTGAATAAATGTGGTCTGAAATATTAGTCCTACTAGAAGCAGTGAGATGGAGCTGAGGGAAAACTGACTTAAAATGCACCAAGCGGGCTACAGAGCATCACCTCTAAACTTCACACATCTGTCAGACCAAGGAAAACCAGTTGTATCCATCATAACATCAAGAAAATGTCCCTTCCTTCTTCAGGTTAATCTCGAAAGAGTTTTCATCAACTGCAAGGGAATACTTTTTCTTCTTTACAGGATTTAAAATACTTATACCCTGAGCATGCATAAGAGATACTGTATGAAAAGATAAGAAGTGTGCAGAACGGGGACAGAGGAGCTGGGAGATTAGCAAGGGAGGAGACCTTCAGAGTTCATGGTAACAGTTTAATTCCATGGTCCAACCTCTTAGCAGAGAGCTTCATTCTCTGTTCACCCCATCTTTATTTCCTCCCTTTCCATAAACTTCTTTACTATTTTTGAGCTTGAAAAATTTCTGTAGCAATTATCAATGTGATGACTGTTTTTGTACAGATTAGGTTACTCAGGAAAATCTACCATCACAGACCATGGATAAAAGCCATTAGCCTCCTGTGCCCGCTTCTGTCCTCCTTCACTGCTCTGTAGGTCTCACCATGCTACCTGTCCTTTGGTTCTTATGCACTGGAACTTCTCTAAGATTCTTCCACCATCAGATTTCACCAATTACCTGTACCCCTTCTGTTGTGTAAAATTCAATCACTCTCATGTTAACAAAAAGAAAGAAGGAAGGAAGGAGTGAGACGGAGGGAGGCAGAGCTCCTTTGTCATTAGCATATTTTCACATGCTACTTTTTCATGGCTGGTTCTCTTCTTCATATTTTCTTGGAGTATTGGGGATTGAACTTAGGGGCAATTGGCCACTGAGCCACATTCCCAGCCCTATTTTGTATTTTATTTAGAGACAGGTTCTCACTGAGTTGCTTAGTGCCTCACTTTTGCTGAACTGGCTTTGAACTCTCTATCCTCCTCTGCCTCAGCCCCCCGAGCCTCTAGGATTACAGGTAGGAGCCACCTTGCCTAGCCCCTCTTCACATTTCTTAAAGCATTCTATAATTGCTTTCTACATACAGTTCCTATTATTCCACTCATTCTTTAATCAACTACTCTCTCAATATCAATTTGATTTATTTCAGAAAATGGATCTTGCTAAAGACCTACAACTATGATTTAAACTCAAATTTTTTCATCTTCATCCTACTCAACATTTCTCTTTCCCACTTATCTCTATAAAAATTTTGGAATTCTTCATAATTGAGCCCTAATCCATTGGATTCCTATTCTGAGCTCTTAGAAAACATCTATTAGAGTTTTAAAAA